GAAAAGTGCATGTTAATGAAAAAAAGAAATTGATTAAATGTAATACATTCAAAAATGCTAAATATCTTGGAGAACACTTCCCTTTCAGAGCACTGATAAATTCAGAACAAATTGATTTCCCATGAAGGAAATTTCTTAGCATTGTTGGACTTAACAAATCTAATTCTTTTTAAGAAGTTATTTTTTATGCAGCATCCATCTAATATTTGCAGAGTGACTATGAGGTTCTTTTTTTTTTTTTTTTCAAAGTTTCGGTTCCTCTTCAGACCGGAATGTCTTGACACAGCCCTGTACTCGCAGAGTGGGAAGGAAGGGAAGAAGCAAGGGGCAAAACAAGGAATAGAGTGGGATGAACTGGCCAGATGAGAAACTAAGATAAGGAGAGATGAGATGGTTTCGGGCAGCCTGTTAAAGGTCTTTCCTTCACCATTCCTGCCCTATCACATGCCCTGCTCTGCTCCATATAATCAGGTTTTTCAGGGGATGTTTCACTTGCTTTTTCCCTCTAATAGCAGAATGTCTTTAAAAACATTCCTCATACTGAGCACAGCAGAAAGATTGTATGGATGTATAACGGGAGTCTGGCTGACAGTTGGTTCGGAGCAGTGATGCTTTCTGTGCTGACATGCAGAATGTTTTTTGTAATTGTGAACTGCCCAATTTAATTTGAAAAAATTAAGCTAGATTTCTGTTTTAAACATGAAGATTGGCATGCCTTTTTTAATATATGCATTTAATATATACATGAGTAGTAAACATAAGGGCAGAGTAGACACTTCCTAGGTGAATTCAGCAATCAGTACGATGGCTTGATACAGTAAATGTAATTCATAGATCACATCACACAAATGTCAACCTCTGAGTGCTGGTTACAAGGCTAGTAATTGCAATACTGTATTTTGCCATTCTGGAATTCTTTCACCTGATGACACAGTTGACTCCTCTCTAAATAATACCGTATCAAATTTTAAAATGTAAGTATATTACTATTCTTTTTAAATCAGTAATTTTGAAGTACATGAAAGTGGGGTGGCAATATACAAACCTTCAACTGAGAAATTCTTAGTCATTTCATAAATGGCTGGTGTGTTATATAGATCCCTTTTCAGAATCAGTATCATTAAACAGTGCCTACAAGAGGGACTGAATGGTGCAGGAAGAGTTCAGGAAGAGCTGGCAGTTGTTTTTCCTGTTATTGTAATCTGTAGCAGTGTATTTCAATATTCCTTGGGGTTTTGTGTTGCAAACGAGTTTCTTTCACTGCCTACAACTATTATTTAGTCATGATTAGTGCTGAATACTACTGCTAATAAAGCAAAGCTTTTTTTTCTGGCTTACAGTTGTTATCTTTTTTTGCAACTAAAGGAAAATGTGATGAAGAACAGGGCTCCTTTTTGTAAGGAGTGCAGAACTACCTCTTCGTAACACATGTATAACAGCCCAGAAGTGTGAAGACGTTTGCTTGTAGTGGGACTATATGCAGTAGTTAATCAAATGGTCAGTAGTTAATCAAATCAGGTCTGTAGTTCCAAAGTGTTAGAGGCGGTTTCTGGAAGGCTGTAATTTGCAAATTGATTTTGCTCCTTGCCAATTAGGGAAATATAAAATCTGACATTTGAAAGAAGGACTTTGAGATTGCTGGCTTAGGTGGAGGCTTGTTTCAGTACTGCCCTTCTGCTCGGTGGAAGAGGACAAACCCCTACGCAGGGTGACTGCTCTTCTTGCAGTCAGTGGAGAGAGACGTAGGGACACCGACTGCCTGGTCATTCGGTTAACCTTTGTCAACACAGTGCTGGACTAAGTCTTAATTTTGGAGACTAAAATGAACTAAATCAGTGACCTAATTGAACCTCTAACTAACTATCTGTTTAATCTATGTTGTCTGTATTTACACACCTATACACTTACACGGTGGATTTTGGTCTGTCTCCTTCGTGTGGAACCGTAATTCAGATAAATTTGCAAGTCATCATACTTAGTGATGCTGCTGTCAAAAGTTGTTGCCTGAGTGCCTGTACCCTGTGTCTGAATGTCTTCACTTTGGTAGTATTTGGAAAAAGCGTGTGTCAAAAACAGTCTAATGAAGCTGTAATGAAGCTGGCTGTAGCTGGATTGCATTCAAATATGCAGATAGGAAAAAGAAAAGTTTCTCTTCCCACTGATAGCTCTTCATGTATGGTCTGTAACTTTTTTCTCGACTTGTATTTTTGATATGCTTCAGTCAGTAAAACACAGTTTCATATTTAAAGGATATTTATCAGGAATCTGAACTTTGAAATTACACCTTCCTGTTTCAGAACAACTTTAAAATGCTAGGTTGAAAACAGCGTGTTCAAGAACTAGTTTAGGAGTAGACCTTATGTGTCTTCCTTAAGAGCAGTGACGTATACACACGTATGTAAGACGGAAGGGCAGGTAAGTGGATGGTAGCAGGTTCGGCCTGATTGGTTTCCACATCCAGTTTTATTCTGCTGCTGAAAGTCTGTCAGAGTCCTAAATAAGAGAGATGGAGGTGGTATTAGAGGTGCTGAAATAAATGTTAGAGCAGCAAGTTAAATGCTGTTTTGTTTTTATTAAAAATTCTTATCTTCTGAATGATCACTGCGCTTCTATTTAGAAGCTTTCACACAACAGGTTTACAAAGTCTCAGTATTTTTTTCTAAACATGCTATTTTTGGTGGTGGCTGAATTGACTCATTGCTTTATCCTTCAAGAGGAGTTTTTAGCTTATAACATTTCCATATCATCATTTACTAGTAAAGCATGAAGTAGGCTGAAGAATATATAAGGATTTAAAGTCCATGTAAGGAAATGAAGAAAAAGCCATAAGACAGTAATTGAGGGACTGGATTGCAAACTGAAGCAGAAACAGTTCAGCAGAGAGCTAACCTTTTAATAGAGAGATGTTTCAGTAATTTCAGGATATTTTTCTTGTGTGACATGGTAACATCCGGAGAACTGGCCATGTTTCTCATAATGTAAAGGAGACACTTGCTTTTAGTGGTTGTGTGACATCTCACTTAAGTACCATTTGGAAGAGGCATTTTAGAAGAAAATGATAGGTTTGTGAAGAAATGAAGCTTTGGTTATATCCAGAAATAAACTCCCATGGTTTGCAACTGCAGCCATTATGGCAGTTGTACTCAGAGGTCAGATCTATCAGAAAACAAACCTCTACAAACCTGCGGTGTGTGTTCAGTCCGATGTACAGAATGGCGAAGAGGAGAGCGGGCGGCCGCGAGCCGAGCGCGCGTGAATGCCCGTGTTGTTCTGCAGGATTTGCTGCCCGGGATAAGCGGGTCCTGCGGGCGCTGGGGAACGTACGTGGCCACGAATGCGGCACCCCAGGCTTTCGGACGTAAACTTTCTGTGACTTGTTAAAAGAAGTTAATACACCTCAGAGCATGGGGGAATTGGAAATTGCAAGTTTTTCCTATACTAAGTATAATCTTGCTATAAATAGCATGCATTTTGTTTCTACACTTTTGAAATCCTCAGTATTACCTTCATAGATTCTGAACAAGGTGGGGGAGGGCGAGGAATGATACCTGATTTGCTAACTAAATAAATTTCAGCCTAAAACCAGAGATCAACATGAAATAAAGTATAACTATTTTGTTAAAAGCCTCTTCAGACTATTACTTTATTTAAAAATCTTTGATTTTGCATCGTAATGTCTTTGCTGTAGAAATAGCCTTTATCTTAGAATAAAGGGAACAGTAAAATGTTTTATTCTTTGGTACTAAAAGACCCATTTTCAAAGCAGTCACAGAAGCCTTTTCCTTGTCTTCAAATCTTCCTAACTTCTTTGCAGCAGTGAAGAACAGGCCGTGTGAGGCATGTCCTAACAAACCCTCCATCAGATGAGAGTGTCCCTCTCTGCTTGTGGTTGCACAGCTTTCTGGTGGGATGGCAACTCCTTTTCCCTGATGCTGTTTATGACAGAGGAATCCACAGCCATCCTTTACTCTGAGAAGTTTTGGAGCTTCTTTTTCCTTAAGATGGGGCAAAAGAAAAACGTGGACTTGTTTTCAGCTTACAGGCTCTTGTGGTTTGCTGCTGGTATTTTCTTTCCAGCTTGGCAGGCTTGTTTGAGCTCTTGCTTAGAGGGACAAGTTACACGTTAGCGATATGAGGTGCTACTTAAAAATTTTGAATCACGAAAGACTGTCACTTTAGCATGTGAATGAGTATTAGAAGGGAGGAAGAAACTGTCAGCAGAAGTGAGCCTTCTGAGCTATGAGGATTCCCTTTTCCTCACTAGGATAGGGACTGCAAAATAGGTTAAAAACAAGCAAACGAATTTAGCATGTTTAAAATGGCACCATTACATTAGCCATTCAGAATGTGCCAATGCTGGCACTGTTCCTGGCTAGCTCAATGAGCAATGCATGCTCAATCACACACTCCTTTTAACTAGGAACTTATTAAGCTGCATTGCTTGAGGAGCCTAAGTTTTCATTGGCTTTGCTTTAGTATCTCTTTCCCGCAAAGACCACGTATTCCATAAATCCAAGCCTATATGAATATCTTACTTGGATTGGAAAATAAGGTCACTGTTTCTTAAGAAGAGAGCTGGAATGTGATAGTACTGGAAGTCGGCATTTTACAAGGTTATAGTATACTAAGTTGTGAACAAATACATTCCTTATTTATGAGCTCATATATATATGAGCTATGAAGTTATTTATGAGCTATAGAGCTATATGCGCTGGCACCAAGCCGTGTGAAATGAGGTGCATGTTCAGATGGCAAGAGACTGTATTTCTGCTCACGTGCCAGGACATGTGCCCATTAGAAGTGTTTGGGTATTTCTCTCTCATATAGATGCACACCAAATGAGCTACAGAAAAGTGTCCAGTCACGAGATGCACTGAAATTTTATATATATATAAAATATAATATAAAAACTGGTCCTACATATATATAGCATAATAGCATATATATGCTATTAGTGTAGGACCAGCTTTGAATCTCTTCCATCATTTTTCTTACAGGAAATATTGGATAGCTCCCATGATGGATGACGGGAAGCCCGTTTGGGCTCCACACCCAACTGATGGATTTCAGATGGGAATGATTGTGGACATTGGCACTGACAACTTAACGATCGAACCTTTGAATCAAAAAGGCAAGGTAAGTGTCTTGCAAGAATGGGGAGAAACATGATAGATAACTAAGAGGGAAGCTAATACTGAATTTGAGCTAGATCTTAGGCTGTGTTTCTGAATTCTTAGCTTTTTAAAATAAACAAGAATGCTCCTATTTTACCTAATTCAGCTTAAGCATTCTAATTCTCTGAAGGATTTGTTTTTTTTAAGTCTGAAAAGCTATTGTAGATATGCTCTGAGAGAACCAATAACAGAAGAAAAGTCAATGAAACATTTAAAATGGAGTCCTGATCCTTCCTTATTAGTGCATTCAAACTGCCTCATTTATCATGGCATCTTTCATATTCAGTGTCTTCCTTAAATGTCAGTTTGCTACAGGAAATGCCTTTTACCTACCAATTATGCTAATTCGCGTGGTAAGTTACCTGGGTTTTACTACCGGGAATAAGGTCATATGCTGTTTGTTTAGTGTTTATAAATGTTAGTTAAAATACATATTGTTTCTAATAATTTTGTCCTTCATGCAGCTTCAGTTATAAAGTGAGCAAATCTCTTCGGTAACTTCTCTTTCATGCTGATGTTAATAGAGAATGCCTTGTCACGAATCACAAGGTTATGAAGCAGTTCTTCCTTTTGGGAGAATATTTATAGACCTTTTTATTATTATTTTAACCTTGAAGAGGAAGTTAGTTTTCTTTTCTTAGAAACACAGAGTAAGCATGTGTCTGATAAGGTCTGTAGATTTAGCACTATTGGGCATTCTTCAGTTGAGAGAGGGACAAAATCATTAAGACAAGTATATTAAATATTGAAAGGGACATACTGAGGAACAAACTGGCAATAAAGAGACTCTTCTGTTTCTAATATCTGCTTTCTTGGCCTCTCTTTTCAAAACCAAAAATGATCGTTAGTTATAGCCATTGAAAATACAGTCTTACCCCTGAAGAAGTTTCTACTATTTTCATTTCGGCATACAGACTTCAGAACAGTGAAATGGATAACATCATCCGATGTTGTGTACGCAAACATAACATTTGTCCCAAATAAAATTTGACTTCCTGCCAAATGACTAGGGTGGTCTCTGGTTAGGGGTTCCCCGTGGAAAGTGGAACATTCTGACTCATACAGGCAGTACTACTACATTATGTTCATGTTTCATAGCTTGTTCTCTGTGGTGGGACTGTCGTGTATCCTTTGAATCTTGATTTTGCTTTTAATTTTCAAAACTGAAGGTATGGCAAGAAAAAAACTTTATCTCCGTGCCAGTACTTATTTTTTTGAGCTGCTGTGAATGGCTCACTACTATGTTTTCAGATATTCCTTATATAATATGAATTCTGCTTTCAGACCCCTCGTATTTCAGAGAATACTAGAACTCTTGCTCATGTAGGAAGTGGTCTTTATTTCTAATACTTAAACTTGTAGAGGATTTGAAATGCATTCCTTTTAGTAAGAGTTGTCAAGAAGCAATAGGAATATTTTGCCTTGCGGTTCACAATGAATGATCCCGATTTTTTAGAGAGACAGTTACTCTGATGTTGGCTATTTTCTTGCACTGAGCAAATCAGCTAAGTCTGTAGTGTTCATTCATATAAGGGAACTAACAGACATTTAAATTCCGTAGAGATTATGGATCCATGTTTATAATAATCAAACTTCCTGATAATAATAGAGATGGAGTAAATGTACCTTGTCAGTCTTTTGAAGGTGTTTATTTTCTTTTACAGTGAGAAGTTTCTTTGTTGTTTTTTATTGGTGTAAGAAGGCCGTGTTCTTTTCGTGCAGTTAGACCATTAATTTGTATTAAACATTAGTACGTGTTGTTATCAGCTTTGTCTACTCAAAATGATAGTTTGGAAGTGCTCTTTGGGAAGGGGTAGTGATCCAGCAGCTCTGGGGTTGCTCAGGATAATTACCGGGAGGAGATGAGCAACCTGATCTTGTAAACATACCCAGGCAGCAAAACTTATTATTATTTTTTAATCTGGGCTGTGAGCATGTCATATGTATTCTCTGTGGAAGCTGCTAATTTCCCAGAGATCAGGAACTGAAAAGTAAATGGCTATGTGTATGGCTAACTCTTGGCTTTTATACCACTTAATATATGTTGTTAATAGCCGCAATAAATGTTGCAAGACAGTGATTAGAGAATGTCTTAAAATCTTCCCTCCCTTCCTCAGCCGTAGCTGGTTGTGTCAGTGCAGAGTAGCCCCCGCGCTGCTGCGCCAGCAGAATTACTTGTTCCACAGCAAACGGGGGCAGCGGATGGATCCACCTTAAAAAGGGCCGGGTGGAAACTTGTCAGGATGGCAAGAAGCAGGAGGTAGCAATATGTGGAGCTGGTGTGGCTGTAGATTACTTTGTATTAGGAAACCAAGTTCATGAGTCCAGCCTTGAAGGTAGTTAGCCAACACACTGCTCAACCCGTAAAGCAGCGGCAGCAGCTTTGGGTACCACAGCCTGAGCACGGCTAACAGCAGCGCTTACCTTTCAGGGCCAAAGCTGGATGTCCAAAGGGAGGTAGGGATCTGAGTCACTGAGACTATGTTGTCCAAGAAAGGGCAATCCAAAGTGCAAGAACTTTGCTGTATGAGCAGAGGATGTGGGTGTTACATATGATGGGAATTACCCCATGGAAGCTGCATCACCGGCTTTCAGAGCTGGTAAATGCCACAGCTGGAAAGAAAATAGAACTGTTTTCTGTCAAAAGGGTAAAACTGGGGAGTGGTAAAGTGACGAGGGACAGATGTCTTTCAGGGACCCTTATGGCCCTGAGGAAGGAACGAACGGGACAAGTGTTTCCTAGAGCTGAAGCGATGAATTTCCAGCAATGTTGGGCAGGCCCGTGCTGCCGCAGGCACCAGTGAGCTCCTTGTGCAGAGAACCGAGGGCCTCAGGCTCTGAGAGACCAGTGCAGCGTCCTCGAAGGCCTTGTGGGGTGGCTGTTTGAGCACGCTGTGAACAACTGCAAAGGTATTTTCCAGAGTTAAGTATAAATGAATACGTGCATTGGGCAAATAGGGATTGGAATGTCCAAAGTTCAGTGTTTCAAGCTAAGAGGTTGTTTTAGCAGTGAGCACAGTTTACTGGGGCAAACGAGACGTGTTCATGTCCCTCCTGTTACCTCCTTGTATTGCTTTAGGCTGTTTTGTGAAATGCAGCTGAGAGTAGGGATGTGTGCATGTTGGTATGCTGAAAGGTATAAAGGAAGGCATGGTTACATGTATTGGATTACGTGGTAGAAAGAAGATCCTGCTTGAATAGAAAGGTATCTTTTTTCACTCATCTACTTTCTGGGAGAGTAGTTAAGATTGTCACTGCATTTCAAGGGTTGTTCATTTGTGTGTGGAGGGAAAAACACAAGAGCAAACCAAACAAATCCCCTCTGTTTTGTCTGCTGAGATTACTTCAGCGTTTCGTAAGATGAATATCCTGTCCGTATTTTTAGAACAAGCTTGTCCTAAGCCAGGACAATAGTCCTTGACTAAATGCATAAAGTGTTCTCTCGAGCAAAACTATGTCCTTAAATAAAAAGTTGTTTTGTTTTTGTTTAAGGATCATGCAATAAAAAATTTTGGGGGGCATAATATATATTTTTTAATGTCCTAATGTCCTATTTTTTTTAATAGACCTGAGGCAGATTGCCCATTTTTCTAAGTATCAGATTTTAATAATAAGTGTTAATATTCAGACCTCTGCACATAAAGATAACTGACAACAACTAATAGTCTTAAACATAATGCAGTAGGACAGCTGTGGTAAACAGGAGTTGTATTCTTCCTTGGCAAAGTTGAAGCAGGACTTTATGCTCTAGTCTGGTCTAAAAAATCTGATCTAGACTAAAATACCCCCCAAAACAAACAAAAATGGCTTTTGGATAAGTCTTTTTTGTATTGCTTTTGATTTAATGCATCACTTCTGAGATACTTTAATACAGTACCATAATGACTTACAGACTGCTGGAAGGATTTACAGGAGAAAACCTAGTTTGTCACAATCTGACTCTCCCTGGAGCATAACTAATAATGCAACTTCTAGCATTAATTTTGCAACTCGTATTGGGTGGGAAAATGAAAGAGTCAAATTCTCATTATTGTTTCACTAAAATGTATCCGTTGGATCAAAAGACTGGAAGATAAAAACATTGAAAAAAAACTATTCTTTTTGTACATAAATCTCGTACAGCTCCTTTTACATCCATAAAAAGTGAAAATATCAAAGATTTGTGAAGAATACTGCAGAATAGCTGTGTATCATGCTTGCTGCATTCTCTGAAAAAAAGAAAATTGGCCCTTTTGATGTATTTACACTTGGGCTACACTTAAGTAGACAGGAACTACAAATAAAGTTAGACTTTTGGGAAGTCAGTAAAGCTATTTTTAAGCTTTTGCTGGTTTCTGCAGAATGAATTAAGTGTATGAGAAACTGTATTAAAATACATCTTTATTTAATGTGGTATACATTATCACTGACAATTTTGCGAAGAAAATTCTGAAAACTAACATATCCGAACTGCAGCATTTTGAGAGGGAGGAGATTGTGTGCTGTGCTGGAAGTCAGAGCAGCAGCTAGCAACATCTTGAGGTAGGTGAAGACTTTTAGATCCTCCTTGGCTTAGTCACATTCTGATAAAAGATATTTTGGAGATAGTTGGCTTCACCAATGTTCAGACAATACAAAATAATTGTGCAGCTTCTTTTGCCTTCAGAAAGCTTTTGTGTATTTTTTTTCCTACAATAGATCCCAATAAGAGGATGGTAAAAGAGAATTTATTAGGGCTGGAAAGTACATAGGCCATGGATAACCTGATAGAGAGGGATATGGTAGACTTGCTGCTTTACGACTGGCAGCAATTAGTTTGTCTCAGATACAATTTTAAACCTTACCACTTTGAAATGAGTTGGAATTAGTGATTCTCTATGATGGTGTGAGCTACAAGACTGCATATGTTGTTTCTGTTGTATTGAAGCAACGTAAAAACAAGTGTCTGTGGTTTCCTAAACTCTCATGAGATGTTCCTCCTTGGACTGTCTTGCTGAGTACAGTTTTCAAACTTATTCATAACATAAAGTCATTTTCTTGGATCTCTTTTCTTATCTTTTGAAAAATTAAGAGGGAGCAGATTAGCCTTACAGCCTTCATTTCCACATAGAAAAGAAGACTGCACTTGTAGCAGGTTGATGGCAGTGATATTTAATTAGTACAACAATGTTTTTGTTCATTCATAGGTAGCATAAGCAAAATACTACTGCTGTAAACAAAAATGTGTAATTAAAAATCCACTTCACAATATGTATTTTTATGCAGATGCTGTAACACATGTGGTCTCGTGTGCTTTCCTTCCTTTTTAAAGCAATATAAATTATGATTTCTGGAGAACAAAAGAGAGACAAAGTTGCTTTTGTTATTAATTTTGACCAGTGGGACTTGAACACTTGATAAATGGCTTTTTTGTGCAACTGGAGCACAGCAGTTGAAGGAAGTTCTTGTTCTGCATTAGTACTGATTGGGGCCGGGGGGGAGTAGGAGGGTAGAAAGCAACAACCCAAAGCTACCGTATTTGAGTACAGAGGATTGTGTTCTGTATAAAATGTTTTTGCTTAAATGTTTTGTTCATGTTTTATAAAAGTATATGGTAATGATATGGTAATGATAAATTGTACTGAACTAATAGATTCTTTTTTATTTGTTGAGCTGCTTTGCAAAACCGAAGAAAAAAATTTAAATGGCTCCCATTACAGTAATTTTTTAGTAATCCTTATTTTTGGTATTTTTTTTGTGTGTCAATAATTATGTGCGATTTTGGAAGTAAGTGAAAAGTAGTAATAAATAAGTGGAAAGTATTATTGCTGTGATGACTGCAGCAGCTCCTGTATGTATCTAGGAAGTCCGTGAAATTTGCAATGCTGAATTACATATCTGGCAACTTGAACAATGCACAATCACAGCGCATTTACTTGCAACATGTTACAAGACATCTTTGAACTCTTATTCCTAGGAGGAATTCCTATTATTATGCAATTCTGAAAATGTTAATATATTTCATCTAACAGACTTTCCAAGCTGCTGTCAGTCAAGTGTTTCCTGCAGAAGAGGACAGTAAAAAGGATGTGGAAGATAACTGTGAGTTACGTACTTAAATACTATATATTTATTTGAAAATGAGTTATGTTCTGGAAAGAATATGTGGCTTCCTTACTAGTTTGCTATCTCTTCCTCGCAGTCTTTTCATTTTGTTCCTTTGCTTGAATTTGTGTATGACCTTTACTGGCCCATTAAAACCTCTTAAAGTAAGCCCGTATTCAAGAACTTGCCCGGATAATTTACTGTGGCCTTTTTCATTTTCAAATGAACATTTCAAGGGAACTCATGGTTGCATCATTCCCACATACAACTAACTGCTATTTGATTTACTTCAGATCTACATCAGATGTTGCTAACTACAACATGATCAACTGCATGCAGCATTATGGGACTGACTACATCTTTTGTAGTGCAGCAAAAGAATTAGTTGCTTTATCAGGAACTATAGTGTATTTTTCTGAATGTAACCTGCTTTTTGGAGAGCTTTCCTTTGGAAGTACGAGTGATTGAAAGACAATGTCAGATAACCTGCTCAAAACTGTAGACGAGATATAGACTCAGCAGCAGGATCCGTAGAAGAGGAAATAAGATATAGCCAATACAGGAGTGCTGCTGGTGGAGGAGTTTTGAGATGAATTTACATAACCTGCATTGCTGTTGACTTGTGATGTTTTTATTTTGTTAAATATTTTATGGCTTAGATTTGTGAAAACAAATACAGTAGTCAAACGTGAGGAGGGAGAGTACCACAAAAGAGTAATAAACTTGCAGCAGTTTTGGGACAACTGTTAAACAAATATTTTTGCTATCGTTGTTTTATGTGAATAAATCTGTTAACGGAGATTACAGATTATTACTGTATCAGAGATCTGGTTACAGAAATAACTTGAAAACCTTATGGAGAAAGTTGTTTTTCCCATTTGTTTCTTGTGGGATTTATTGGTTAGGCAAAATATTGATTACCTTCTAAATGCTGGGCAAAAGTGGCTTCTATTTGTTATTTATTTAAAATAAATAGAGCATAGGACTTTCAAAGTTGTTTAGATGATTTAAGGACCACAGCTCCTTTTGTGGAGTAGGGTATGGTATTTATGTCCCACGACAGGAGGAACAGCCGCTATAGCTGCTCTGTAACAAACAGGAAAATGAGATCTGAAGCTTATGATTTGATTTAGAAGGATTATAACCAAAGGGAGGTCTTTTCTAGCTGATAGTCTTTCTCCAGTTGCTTATATTTTTGCAAAAAAATCTGTAGATTGAAATGCTTTATCTGTACATGGCATTTGTTTGGGAGGGAAATGCATTGAATTCGTGTTTCCGTCAGAATGTTTTTTCATGGTGTCCTAGCACCTCATCGTCTTGACAAGGAATTGAAATTTGAAGTGAGATTATGGGAATAATTGGATTATTTCAGAAGCGTAGCATTCAATTAAGCTTCATAATATTTCTTATTTGGCTTCCTGGCTAAAATATAAAACTTAAAAATGTTTTGAGCCAACATCCTTTCTGATCAAATGTTAGTTTTGACCTTTAATATTTTCCCATTTTATGAGCAGTAGTTGAGGTACATCTCTAGGAAGGGTAAAACCAAGCTTCACTTCTCTGTCAGAGAAGATCTGTATTGGAATCATGGATTTTTGAGAACAGAGTAATATCAATCACTAGGAAATTTTACAAAATACTGTAAAGAGGGACTGAAAACACACAGTGCTATTCTAAAATACATCGAAAAGCTAGTTAATTACCATTCTAGCTCATGCTCATGCCTTTTCGGGAGCAATTTGCCTAAGAGTGTGTGTGTGTGTGTGTGTGTGTGTATAAAACTGTGCGTTTTGGTTTTGTTCATTCTTAGTCTTTCACTATGCCTCATGCCTGTAGCCTTGTTAATAGTCTAGCTCTTCCACAAAAGGGAATTTTCATTAAATATTGCTAACAGTCCTGAGGCAAAGCATTTGACTTCTTTCTCATTCACTCTTCTAAGCTGTTGGGGCTGTTAATGTATTCTAGTTACCAGGAATGAAACTGGGGATGCTCTCTTGTGCTTTGACAACTAATTTGCTAGTCGCATATATAAACTGCAACAACTTGCATCCACTACCCAAATCTCTCTGCTCAGAAAGAATTTTAAGGGCCTTTTTTGTTTATTTGTTTGTTTTCTGCATAGCTAATTCTGCAAGATTAGCCTTTAGCTTGTCTTAGTTTTGTATACGTCTTACGATTAGATTAAGGACAAATGTGTTTTTTTATTTATTTATTTATTTTCCAATGGCCAAGGAGAAAAATAAATTTGAGATAAAACAAGTTTAAAAAAAATGAGGGAGAGACTGTATGAGTATCTCAAAAATTGAGTTGAACAGATGCTGAGCCTTGTATACATGATTAAAAAAAATCTGTATAACCTTGCTTCACTGAGTGCACAGGAAAGCCTGAGTGTCTCTGACATTGATATTTCCCAGCTTCACCTCTGTGAACTTAGTACATGTGTGTAAATCAATATATGGACTGTAAATGCACACTGTTTGGTTATACCAGGAATGTGCCATATGAAAATGCAGAGAGTTCTCTCTCTGGTGGCTTCCTTTGCACCTGGATGTTGATGGCACTTTTAAAGGACTTATCCCAGAGAGGATGAATTTTGAAGCTGACGGCAAAAGCCGCAGTTTGCATGTCTTGAGTGGAGGAGGCAACTCTCCCTCTGGGAACAAGCTCCAATTACACCAAGTCTGCAGGTGTAATTCCTCTAATGAGGACTGGAATCCTTTGGCTAAGAGAATTAAGAGAATATTGTGGGGGCATGAAAACCTTGGGTCATTTTTTGTTTGGATAGCGATTAAGTTTTTATTAGGATGCTTACCTGATCTTTACTTCTATTGAAGTATAGTGAGAAAAAAAATTGAGAAGTTCCTATAAAGATCCAGCCAAGGGATGTGTGTGTAAAGCTACTATATAAACTATTTCCTTAACCCAAGAGAACCAAAAAGACTTCATAATGTCAAATGTCAAAATTTTGACCCCCTCTGCCCAAAGATGTGTATAAGGAGATTTAACTTTCTTTAGCACAAGCAGAAGTTTCTGATTGCGGCTCATTTCCTTTTCGTGTCTTTTTCTCTTGGGATGCCCTGGTTAAAGGAGGCAAAGGACAAAGCGGGTCTGGCAGAGGAGCCCTGCGCCCCGCGGTCTCCGGGCCGCCTCCTCGCGCCTCCGCCTGGGCCTGGGCAGGCAGGGGAGGCGCCGGCCGCGGCGTTGCTGCTGTTAGCCGCGCAAAGGCAGGAAGCGCTGTTAGCGATTCTGGGATTCGGGGCGCTCTGCGGGCGGCCGCTGAACCTGCCTTTGCGTCAGGCTAGGCCGGCTCATTGCTCCTTGTGCCGCTGCGGAAGGATCGGGGTACTATTAAAAGAGAAAACACGCGTGCTCTTGAGAATCCTCCCTCTTCTTTCCCTGTGCCCTCTGGTCCTGTGGAAGGAGCATACAGGAGGAGTTAAGAGCTGCTTACTCAGCTTCAGGCGTCCGTGTGGGATGAGATCCCCAAGATGGACTTTAGGGAACGAGAATTGGCAATCTTTCTTGCACATGTGTAAGCAAGTTAGTGAACAATTTTCTGCATTGCAGCCCCTGAAAGGACTTTGATCCTCATGTGCTGAATTCAGAAACAGGGGTAGCTCCCTCCACTTGCATTTCTGTAGATTGGAGATGTGTTTACGACACTTGTATGTGGTGGGAAGTTGGAATCATCACTAAAAGCACAGTACTGCTTGTGTTTGTGGGTTTTTTTGTCTTGTTTTGTTTTCAGGTGCTGCCAAGTACTTTAGGGTTTATCTGTGTGTTAGTTTATTGCAACATGATTGAAAAAAAATAAAGGGTGGGTGCTCTTTACATTTGAATTTTGAGGGGTTAGAAAGAGGATTAAACATTTGAAAACTGAGGCTGTGGAATAAGTAGCGCCTCAGTATGTTTAGGAATAATGTTTTTAATATTGTTACAGTGGGAGAGTTATTGTTACTAGTACTGACCTCTGTAGTTAAGGCCACTTTGTAGTTTCCAGTGCTATAGTTGAAAACAAGGACTAGCTTTGGCAAAATGTTAATCCATGGGATCTGGACCTTTGTGTACATGTTTGCTCTCGCTTGAGTGGCATTTTCTAGTATTTCAGCAATGTTACTTCAGGTATTTTACATTAACAAACTTAAAAATAGCCATTTTTTCATTAACTTTTTTTGAGGGAGCCTCCCAGTTTCTTTGAAGAGGAACAACATTCAGAAACGAGCCTTGAAAGGCGGCAGTGGTACCTAGTGTGACAATTGAGACCTGTTGCCACCTCTGGAAAATTCTTGCAGATTGAATCAGCAGCACAAGCAGCTAAAACTCCCCAAGAGCAAGCAGTTGGATGACATTACTCTGTATGCATCATTGCAGAGACTACAGAGTGGAAGGGGAAAAAACGTGTGTTGGAGTTTTTGATAAGCGTGGAGGGAAATGCGCCATGCTCATCTGGAAGGGTGTTAAAAGGGAGCGTTAGACCCTGTCATCTAGTTCTGCATTCAACAATTTTAGCTGCTGTTCTACAACATACAGTGTAAATTTTTTAAAAATATATATTTTAATTCAGCAGTTATGCTTTAAGAGAGCCTGAAGAAATGATAGGCTTAAGCCCTAACCATAAAGAGAGGGGGAAGCAAAACCCTCCTTAGAGTTTAGTAGCCTGGCCGTACACTAAGGTAGTCCTGAGTTCTTAACGGTCTGTGTTTGTCTCTTAATTGCAGGTTCCCTTATGTATTTAAATGAAGCCACTCTCCTTCACAATATCAAAGTTCGGTACAGTAAAGACAGAATATATGTAAGTACTGCATATCATCTCAAACCATCCAATGGTAAATATCCTTTAAAAAAAACAAAAAAAACAAAAAAAAACTCTTTTTGAGCCTTTTTGTTCTATCACAGAGAGTAAGTAGAAGTGTCGGCTCTGGAACTTAGGAAATATAAGACATTTGGGGTACATTGTACTTTGTTTGGATTCTGGATCAAGTTAATGCTGGCTAATTTTTAGCAGGCGGGCTAGTAGATTTTTCTCGTACGTGAGTGTTCAGTTGTGACTGGCGTGAGCAGCATCTCACAAAAGTGTGTTCCCGCAGGTTGCTTGCAGTAGAAAGGCTGTTACCAAAGAGGGTTCCCTTTCCTCATTATTTTTGAACGAAGCAAACAGGTGCCTCCTCTGACACCTCCTAGCTCAGATGTCCATCTTAATCTTTTATATTGCTATCAAATTGCCTAATTGTACTTAATGAATTCTGACTAAATTACATTTTGTCCTTGCCATCTGCCCTGACACTGACAGCTGTGAAATAGAAGATAGATAAGTTTTCCTCTTTATTTTTTCTTAATAGAAAGCTGGCTACTGATAATAAACGATGTTTTTCACCTTTTCGAAGTCAGTGTTAAGCTAATCTACTCTTGTGTTACCACAGTGTTCTGTGGTGTATTGATTTAGAGTTAAACCCGCATGTGTGTGTCTGTGTGAATGCATATAAAGAAAGTATATTTGTTTGGCCATATTGCGGTTACCTTTACGCAGCTGTAAATTTTTTATGGGATCAAGACTAAGCGTCATCTTTAAAGTAAATGGCCATTTGAATATTGTTCTGAAAAGAAATAAAAATGAATTTAAATAAAATTCTAAAACCAAACTAATCATTTAGTAGAATGGTATCTAGGTTCATAGAGCCTTCCTTCATCTTATATAAATGCAACTTAAGTAGCTCTGAGTTGAAGGTATTTTCTAAAAGATATTTAAGAAATTAACTCAGTTTATACCTTAACTGTCTTTCCCTTTTAACTTTAGTATAGCATTTGAATCAGATCTTTTTGTGCTATTTAATAGTATTTGCCTTATTATCAAGAGGGAAACTAATATTAGTACTTGGAGCTTTTGAAGAGCTCTGTCTTTGAGCTGTCCTTCATTGAAATAAATGGTGAGAATAAAAGTATTAAGAAAATTTGTATGGGGTGTGTGATCCAGCCTTCTGTGAACATATCGCAACAGTGTCTAAATTTGTCACATGTGATATGTTGATCTCAGTAACAAACTCAATAATTCTTGGAAGCTGGTTTAGGTGTTTCTAGAGTCTTTTCCTGTAAATCTGCTTGTTTGTTTATTTTTTATTTTAATGCTTCAAATTTCCATCTGTCTTTGTATGTAATCTGGCCATTATAACCAAAGCATGAAAGCTTTCCAGAAGCCAAAAAGAACTTGTCTATTGTTGTCCTTATTCTGTGGAAAGGGAAGAGGCAGTTTTGGTTGGAAAATTTTCCCGACCTCCTCCTTTGTTAGAGCACATTTGTATTCTGCTTCTCACTGTGGAACCAGCCTTAGCTAATTTCTCTCAGTTGAAGGCTTTTATTGCCTGGCTTGAGCATGTTGCCAGGCTCCTGCCTTAATTCGGGCAGTCCTTCCTGCTGAGTTGCTTCCATTTGATATTGATTTTTTTTCTCCTTATTAGAGGAGATTGCATGGTGCTAGTGAGTTCATTCGTTCTTGAGGAGGAGGTAATGATTTCTTACCCCTGATCATACAGTGGTGAATAAATTGGAGAAGGTCAAATTGAGATCATATTTCATACCTAAGTGGGTAAGAAATTCTCCTGAGAAGTGTTGGGTTGTTTTGTTTGTTTTTTTGGTTTTGCTTTTTTTTTTTTTTTTTTTTTGTAGAGAAGGCTCTAAGGCAATTAAACAACACTGAAAATGTGTCCCTTGCTTGTATCTTCATCAGCAAGAAAGAACTGTAAATGTAATTTGTATACTTAGAGGTTTGCTTGCCAACAGTTTTGTCTGCTACTTTCATTCTGTTTTTTTTGGAACTTCAGGAATAGGCTGTAGTCTTCAATAGTAACTGAAAATTGCTGTTAACCAGCTGGTTGCATCCTAGCTAATAGTTTTCTATTAATTCTTTTATTCACAGACCTATGTAGCCAACATTCTTATTGCAGTGAATCCATATTTTGATATACCTAAGTTTTATTCCTCAGAAACCATTAAAAAATATCAAGGTAGATCACTTGGGACATTACCACCACATGTTTTTGCAATTGGTATGTATTGAATCTGTATTTGTCTTTGCTAACACTTTAAATACTTTGCTATTATGTTTTAATTGCTATCTGTAACCTAACTAACTCTTTCAACTATTAGGAACTAAAAGCACTAATTACTAAAACTGAAAATCTTGTCACACTGTGTTAAAGTTATATATTCCTTAAAATACTATTTTTTCACTTTTGTATTATAGATTAGCTTTTATTTTAATATTCAGGAGAGTTTCAAGCATAATTTTTGTCATGTTTATTTTTTTTTTAAAGCTGATAAAGCATTTCGTGATATGAAAGTACTCAAGATGAGCCAGTCCATCATAGTTTCTGGGGAATCAGGAGCTGGAAAGACAGAAAACACTAAATTTGTTTTGAGGTTTGTGCTTTTGAACCAAAATTATTCAAGGAATCTCTTTATGTTGATGCATTTGTTGACATGCAGACAGAACTATGTAATGTAGTAAATGACAGTAGGGTAGGTTTAAGACCTACAATTCTGGATAAGTGCATATAGATTAATATAACGCATCCACAACATAGATTAATATAACACATCAAGTTAATATAACACATCCACATATAGATTAATATAACAAATTCATGGTCTTAAAATTGTATGCTGACATGATAACATGTGGAAATGACTGTATTTTCAAGAAATCTACTTGGTTGTTGGTTCATGATGCATTTTGATATTGTGCTTTAGAACAGGAATGGAAACAACTAGACATTTTAAGTGTATCTTGAACTACAGTGTTGTTTCTGCCATAGATGTGCATTTCTGTGCTTTCCTTGTCTTTGTTTCTTTAGCTTGCTTAGCATCCAAGGTTTTAAACTCTTGATTTTGGGATGGCTGCAGGGATTCTGGAATATATTGATTAATTCTGGAATTTACTGATTGATTATTGAATAAAAAGATTTAAAGTTAATTTACGTTCGTGCATGACAGGTACTAAATCAAGAACTTTAAACTGCAGGGAGGTCGAAATGCAGTGTAGGCAGCATGTATATATTCCACTCCTCTAGCCTTTTTTTTCCCCTCTGAATAAATTTTTAATTCCCTTTTTCTTTACATCATGTGTTCCCAATTGTCCTTGTGGGTTAGTGGTCTTACCTCCTGCATGCCAGGAAGAGTTGTCATAGCTGGTCATGTGTTCCTCGTACGGGTCTTCTCTACATTGTGTGCCTGTTAAATGCAAAGCTCTAAAGAGTTACTGCAAGGTGATGGAAATAATTTTCACAGGAGATATCTTAGCTGAAGACAAGTCACAAAGTTGATCCTGCTCAGAACGGGAAAAGGCAGCAGGCATTATGAGAACATCCCCTGAGAAATGCTCTCAAAGGAAGGTTCTTCTCCTTCTTAGCAAACAAATTCAGTTTCCAAGGCAGGCAAATATCGCTGTGGCTGCTTGGTTAAACCAACTACTCCAATGTGGTCTGTGAACTAACTGTTAGAATTTTAAAAGTAGGTTTTTTAAAATCACATAATCAGAAAGACACTAATGCAAACTTGTTAATACTGCTATGCTTTTTCTGGAAGGCCCCGTTTTAAGAAGTATTTTTAACATGTCCCAGATTTACCTGTAAATTTCTAGAAAGTATGCCCTGGACTCAGGGGAAAAAAGCTGTAGCTTAAACCCAAAATGTGCTTGCTTCTATGTTCCTATTTTCAAGTTCCTTCTTCAATTGCTAAATTGAAACTCCTTATTATACACCTACAGTTTTCTAACTCACAGTGCAAATGTGAGATTTTTCATTAGTACTGAGAGTGAGGAACACAGAGGCTGTATGCATGGAAATAATCTTAACTTCAGGTAATATATCTAAACAAGCATCAGTTTATGGAGATTAATGATACATACAGATAGCATGATTCAGTATATTTATACAAAAATAATATCCATTTGAATATCTAAAAATAATTTCTAAATGTGTTTGGAACTAATGAAAATAAAATCTGAGGTCTGCAACAATACACCTTCTAACAAAAGAAAAGTCAAATTGCGTTTATTTTAAGAGGATTTAGGTACTTGGAGCTTACAATCAATTTACTCTCCCTTTAACAAATGGCTCGTAAACATAATGCACAAACATGCTATACTCTGCTGAATTTAAGTAAACAGACAAGTGGAAGATATCAATCACTTCTTTCTTGCTCTGCAGGTATTTGACAGAATCCTACGGTACTGGCCAAGATATTGATGATAGAATTGTAGAAGGTATTGTATTTTATGGAACTAATCATTCCATTTTTTTTCCAACTAAAATGTTAAATACAAGAATAAGAGTTAGGTTGATAATATTGTGGGATTTCCTAGGGCCTAATTTGCGAGGAGTTTACCTTGATGCTTATTCCTGCAGTTGTTTTTTATTTGTGATTTACTTCGTTTCATGTAATGTCATACAGTACTTGATCTAGAATGGGTTTGAGTGTGAAAAGTCACACATATCCAGGACTGAACTTCACACTCTATGAAATCTGCAAGGACAAAATTATCTTCTTATTAGTAATGTTGGAATCAGAAGGGTGTAATTTCTCCCCCTCCCCACTAGAAATTTCTCAGATGAGTACAGAAATGAAGTTATTTTAAACTCTGACCCAGTATTCTGGGTCATTTTTTCTGTGATGTCTATTTGTCATAAAGCAATTAACTTGAATTAACACTTTCATCTCTTCTTTATTGTGTCTATCCAAAAAGACTGGAAATTTGGAACATATGGTTTATCTTTTTACATGTTACAGACACTTTCCTACAGGAAATAGCTTCTTGAATAAACAGAAATATCTCAAAACTAGCCAGCCAAGCCCCAGCCACTCCCCAAAATGCGTCAGCATTCAATGAAGCTCTTTTCTGAATCAAATTCAGAGTATAATTGCCCTCACTGTGTTTCTTAAATAAAAATCTACTTTCTTGGATTCTGTTTTCAAATTCAAGTCACTGGATTATTCAGAAGAAATGCTGCAGGCTCTAATCTTGTGTTGCTGTAGGATTGCTTAAATCAATTTGTTAATGAAATGTCTTGTATGCTAAAGGAACAGAGAAACTGACCAAGAATTGGATAATGCCTGTCCCAGTATGCCATAAAGTTAATCGGTACTTGTAGGTATTTTTAGAAGAGTATTTTTAATCTAAAACAGCATCTGATGCATGAATTTTAAAGTTTTGGCAGACACCCTGAATGAACACGCTCACAACATCTTTTACTCGAGAGACATTTAGCCTATCTATCTGAAAGACCTCCTGCCATCTTTTTATTCATAACCATTCTTCCAAAAAAAAAAAAAAAAAAGGTGTGTAGGATATTTGGATATCTGAATAGCTGCCAAAGATATCTTAATATGGCAGCTTTTCATTGTTATATACTTATATTGAAAAACAAAAGCGTAGACAAAAAAAATTAAGCAGATTGTCCTAATAAATGATGCATTATCATTCATAATTCATCGAACTATTGTGGTTATTCCTCCAAACTTCAATTTTTGTAGAAACAGAATTGTATATGTTAGCAGTGGAGGTTTAATTCTGAGTTTCTGCTCAGATACTTCCCAGCAGGTGGTTTTAACTAAAAAGCTTAAAACATCTTGCTGATGTTTTTTGTGACTTATTGTCAGCACATATATATATATGTATACATACATATATATATATAAATATATATATAAATAAATGTTAAATCTTCGGCTAATTTTTCAGAGTTAGTAAAATACAGTCTTTCAGAAGCATTGCTTTGCATAGCTAATAAGCATTTCAATCTGCTTGAATTGTGCATGTTTAATATGTATGGGTTATTGCTGCCACAGTTGGCAAAGGGCTCTTTGAAACCATTGAAAACTACCACCAGTGAAAAATAAAATCACTTGAACACTTAATTGTTTTTTCTAACATTAGCTCATTTTTAAGTTGTTTTTGAAATCAGCACACAGATTTAATGCTTTTTTCTTCATTCATTGATCTAATGTGTTGTATGCATGCATGATTTTCACCTAGCATGTTTGGGAGGTAAGTGGGTAATCTAGATGTATGAATGACAGTTCATTGGAATGTCTCAAATTGTTGTCTCATAGTTTATGTATCAATTATTTACCTACTTCCTGTAAGTAGTAATTATTTACCTACTTCCTGAATCATTTTCAGTGATAGTCTCTGAATTTGTCATTTTATTGATTCAAAATCCTTGCAGGGTTTGTGTGATATTTAGGCATTTCATTCACTTCACTGTAAATTCTGCCACAGCACATCTAGTACACCTCGCAAAGACCACTTGTTCCTAATAGGTAATATGTATCTTTTAATAGTCAAACCTTATTCCCAGTAAGTACCCTGAAAAATTAATGTGCATTTGTTCTCTCTTGCTGTTTTCTTTTTTGATAGTTTATTGATCAAACTGTAACTTTCTTTCAAACAGCAAATCCTCTATTAGAAGCCTTTGGAAATGCAAAGACTGTTCGCAACAACAATAGTAGCCGTTTTGGGAAATTTGTAGAAATTCACTTCAATGAGAAGGTACCGGGATTTTGATACAGATAGTGATGATCTTGCCCTAAAATGGAAATGACTGGAAGGGGACCGAATACACTTGACTTGGGTATCTCACACCACATACTGACTATGCTGCTTTGCACCCTCTCATTGGGTTTTGTCAGCTTGAAAGCAAAACTGAAGTCACACAGTACTTTGTCACTAGTGGGAAAACTGTGGGCCAAGCCAACGGGAAAATTACTTTCTGCATAAAAGAACAAAAACATTCTCTTTCATTGCAAGGGTGTGAGGGAAAAGCATGTGTAAAGAATAACTTTATTGTTCTTTAGCATTTGCACATTCCTTTAATTCATACATAAGCATGGTTACTTGTTATATACCAAAAGATATGAACGTGTGTGTCTTTTTAAATTATGTATTCATCTTTTTCATGTGTATTTGACATTTTGACACCTTGCATCAATATTATGTATCTGACAAAAGTTTGTGTCAAAAATACTATTCATTGTGTAGCCTAGGAAGCATTTTCTTTGTGCAGAGTTCTGCTTGGATAGATGATACACACAGACAGTCCATGGTTAAGAGTGACTGCGTCTGTCCAGCACATGCAACTTAAACACTTGCTGCCCATCCATGTAGACACTATGTGTGCACCCTCTTGTCTTTGTCACTTTGGTTGAGGATGTAATGAAGCAATTTGTTAACAGTTCCTTCATGCAGACTTGGAACTCACCATCTAGTCTGGAGCTTGTGGGCTCTTCCTAGGCTTTCATTGCACAGTTCTATAACTTTGCTCCACAGTTTGTACAGTAAATAACTCATTACAGGGGAGCGAACTTCACCTCTTGGTGCAGTTTGTATTAACAAAATTATGGAAAGGTGCCCAGATTTCCAATTGGCATGACGCATCCTGTTCTAACTCCTAACTTGAAAATAATCAGAAAAATACTCAGATAATCATAAATATATTTCTTCCTCCTAGAATTCGGTGGTTGGTGGATTTGTATCACATTACCTTCTGGAGAAATCTAGGATCTGTGTGCAAGGCAAAGAAGAGAGGAATTATCATATCTTTTACAGGCTTTGTGCTGGTGCTCCAGAAGACATTAGGCAAAAGCTATTTTTAAGCTCTCCTGACAACTTTAGGGTGAGTATTGGGGTTAGTGATTCTGAAATTGCTCATATTGCCATGCATGGATTTTTTCATGTACTTTATTGTCTTATTTGAGTCTGATAAAATGATGCCTGCCTGCTACTCTTTTGGTATTGGAAAATTTCCTGTCCTTTTTTTTTTTTTTCTTTTCAAAATTGAGGAACCTTTGTTTTTTAAAAAATGTACTGTTCCATACTTAGCTGCTGGTAATTTTGTTGTGGGCTCTGGGTAAAAAAAAAAAAAAATCCATTCCTCCTCTTACCATGCATTCAGGAACACTTAGGGGTTGCATTCCTCTATGTTTTGAATTACTCTGTTCTCACTGTTTCTACCTACGATCACTACCATGGTGTCAAGGTGGTCATGTGTCTCTGTTACAGTCCTTACACTTCCATATTGCTTAGTTTTTTCTTTCCTATTCTTTTTTATGTACTTTGCTCTTATCTTAGCATATGTCATTTTCTGCACTTCAGAATCTCTGCCGTTCCTCTGTCATGCTCCTCTGTCATTCGTGGTCACTCCAGCTAACATCAGACCCATGTTAACTTTGACTGAAAGTTACCCTTTTTCCCTCCATTTGACCTAAAGCCCATTCTCAACTGTTACTGCCAAGATTACTACTTTTCATTAAGCATGATTCTCCCTCTTTTTTTTTTCATTCCACTTTATTCTTTCCTGAGGATGACATATTTTCTTTGAATATTCGATTTTTCTACAACCTGTCACTATTGCAGTCACTGCAGTCACAGAAAGGCCAGTAAAATGTGAATGAAATTAGTGCTGAATATAGTACAGCCAAATGATAATACACTTAAAATACTACTTTTAAAATTCTCAGCTTACTGTTCAGTGGCAAGGGAAAATAAAAAGTAGAATAGAACTTCATGTATCATCAGGAAAGGAACCAAAAATGAAAGAGGGTGTTATGCTGCTACATAGATTTACATTTGTAATAGTTTAAACAGTTTTGTCATCTCAGCTTTCTCTTACACTTCCTCTAGCTGTTCAGATCTCACTGAATTGTTTTCAGAAAAGACAGATGCCTCATTTCTGTGCAGGAGACTTTCTGTTTTCCTTTCCTTCTTTCTGGTCAAAATTTTCTCTCTACTTTTTTAGTTTTCTACTTGCCTGAGTTGTTCCTATCTCCATTTCCGTTATTTTTAAATTCTCATTTAATTTCTTACTGCTTTACGTCATAATTATTGCAATTATTTTTTGAATTTGAGAATCAAATATTGTTGTAGTTGCATGCGAGCAGAGCAACTTCAGGGCTAAGACTCTTTTTCCCTGCTTTCCTGACTGTCCCTTTTGTTTCCCTTCAAAGGAAACTTCCATCTTCACTTTCAACATCCTAAATTCATTCTCATCTTATACTTTGATCTCCAGTTTACTAGTAAGGTGAAGACTCTTGTCTTCAATCACCATGTACTTCTATTACCTGATATTTAATTATTCATAAATAAGCATATTGATGTGTGTGTGTTTTTCTTTTCCCCCTTGACAACAACACTTGAACTGCAAGCATCTACAAATAGCTGCTTCATTACCTTTTATTTAAAAGGGGATAAAGATTGGCGAGTCAGTGTGCTGGGATGACTGTGCACCCTACTGATAAGTGATAGTCGGTTGTTTGCCTTTGTTCTGCCTTTTGGCTATATCTCTCCATGGTCTCTCTGCTGCTTGGCTTGGAGTCTCTCTGAAGCAGAAATCTGTGTATTCCCAGTGTCAGAAGCTCCTTCCTGAGGCTTGTAAGAGTTTTTCTAAAGCAAACTTCGAGAGCGTGTGGAATTCCAAGACTCTTCTCTTTGTAAACTTCCTATATCTTAAACTCTTTGTAAACTTCCTATATCTTAAACAGGATAAGATGCACTTCTAGCAAAAGACATGCTCAGTCTGATGCTTATTAAGAAAGAACTGTGTCAGCTCATTAAAAGAAATTTTCTTTTAAACATATGTGATAAGCAGTGTTTAAAAAATCCTTTCCAGTCCTTCCATTTAAATCTTGCAAATGAAAGCAATAATCTTTCGAATACACACATTCTTATCGTGCAGTCTCTTTTCCATTTTTGCTAACTCCTTGTAGCTAATAGATTTTTAATTCTGCAACTGAATATGCTACCTGCCAGCTCTTGAGAGTTTTTTAATCAAAAACTCCGTTTAAGAGAACACAGCTGTAGGTGTCAAGGTCAGAATTATGACCTGTTAAAATTAGGCTGGTGCAGTACAGTATTGAAAAGCATAAATACCTGCACAGAATACATTTACTGAGCTTGTTTTGTTTCTACAGAGCTTACGGTCACACTCTGTGATATGACTTTTTTTGTTGCTGTTAAATTTACAGCAGGTACTTTCATTTACATACATAATGTTTTATTGCTGTGTCAAGAGTCACTTTTGGAATTCTGAGTTCTTTGCTCTCTGGGAAAGGTTCACTGCAATGTTAATAAAGAACAAGCAAACAAACATTTCTTCCTCTTCTGAAGTAGGTGATTTATTTATTTATTTAGTTACACAGAAACTAACTGGGGGATCTACTTTTCATTATCTCAGATTATATATCTTTTTATGCAAATTAATATAAATATACTTAAAGGTTAGTCATATTGCACTATACCTTCATGAAATATCAATCTAGAGGAGTTTTTTTTAAAAAATGTAAGAAGTTATTATTTTTCTCCAAATTTGTATTACTTTTGTCTGGATTACTTTTTCCATGTTGTTCTCCTTTCTCAATTTCTTCTTCAGGATGTATGATAAAACGACTGCAATGAATCATATTATTGTCACTATTTATTACCACTTTTTTTTTTGGCTGCATATGTCTTGTTGCAATTATCACAGAAATACCCTTGTTCGAGTTGCTAATAATGGATGGTGATATTAGTAGTTAGCCATATTTTATGTTCGATTAGTTTTTTTTTTTGAGAAACGATAAGACCTATGATAAAAATTGATCCTACATTGATTTTTTAAAAAAAGAAAAATCAGTCCCTAAAGATGTAATTTTCATGGGTCTTTGCTACTGTGCTATTTGTCTTAGGGTTTTTAGTTTATCAACTCAAGAGTCCAAATCAGAGTGATCTGAGGTCCCAAGGCTCAAATGTATTTTGCTCAATGCATGTTTTTTCTTCACTGCATTATCTTCAAAATAGGATCATTTCTAAAGCAGTTTTCATTTTTCACAGAACTGAAATTGTGTTAGAAAAGGATAAAAAGTTTTTTAGATATTCTAATTCAATACTTTTTTGTACTTCCAATAGCTCTCCCTCCCTCTGTCTCAAACGATGCCCTGCGATCTTCTCCTCACGCGTTTGGCTGTCTTGCCGTAGGCTCATCGTGGCTGTGGGCAAGTCAGTAGATAACCCCATTCTGGACCCAGCCACTGAGTAGGTCCGGGTAGTTTTGACTGCAGCAGGTGGCTTTGAAACAGGTTGTATAATAAATGTGCACCTAGAATCTGCTTGATGGATCAGACAAGCTGATTTCTTTCAGATCCTAATTTCTAGAGAAGAAATTGACATATGTTAAGATCAGTAAAGGTATAATGAGACATTGTGCCTCAGTGTTATTTTTTTGTTTGTTTCCATTTTCAAAGCATAGTGATATTCAAAGCTTATATCTGGCTAACATAAGCTGTATCTTTCTTATCTGCTTTAAAAATGCAATTTCTCCTAAATTTACTATGTATGTTTACTTGAGTTTTTAGCTTTCATGAGAAGGGTTTTGTCTTGTGATCCATTGTCTCCTACATAGGTAATTATTGAATACTGTGCTGGTTCACTTTCCCTGTGGGGCAGATAAGTTTCCACTGTCCTGCTGATAAGATGACCTTTTTCACCCCTCCACCCCCAGTTCCTGGGATCGTGTTACTAAGTACTGCAAGACAGGGAGATAATGTTGTATTTAAAATGTCCTTTGCATTCTTATTTGCTGATACAGTAAAATTCTCAATATCATGTTAAGCACCAAACTTAATTTTAAACAATGTTTCTTGTCACTGTATTTTAGTATTAATTTAGGCTTGTGACCAGGTTTTTTCTGCTTTTAGAAATCCTTTGGAAAATATTTTACTTTTTAGAACTTTATATATAACTTTATTTGAAATACAGAAGTACCTGTGTTCACCTAGTTTAAACCATCTTTGTTCATGAACCAGAGCAAGGAAGTGTTTGCATTGTCCAGACAAAGGGCTCCTATATAGTTTTAGACAGAGTTTCTAGTTGCCGCTAAACAAATCGGAACAAAAAGGCTGGTGATACCATTTTCCTGGAAGTGTCAGTCACTGTCTGAATGCTTGAACTATTCCCTTTACTATACAGCGGGACTGATAGCAGGAGCCAGATTCTGAACACGCTTCTGCTTGCACAACATGAAAAGTTTGTAATATTCTGCAAACTTTTTATTGAGCTATACTTCTTATTGCCAGTAGAATTATATTATTAGTGAGAAAAAAAAATGACCATAAAAATGTGTTAACTGTAATTTTTTTTTTAAAGTAATTCCAGTCTCCATTAGTAGATTTAGTGGAGTCAAACAAAGGTGAGATAATGGGTCCTAGCACTGTGAACCCACTGCAGGAAAGAGTACTTTAGCTGTTAACATTGAAAAGCTTTCAATAGAAGTTTACTACTGTTGGATTTCTGTACCTCCATACATAAATACATTTTCAAGGAATAAATTCTGAATACCTAGCACGTTGCTATCATATAATGAAATAAAGCTGTGTAAAGCAAACCTTAATTGTTTATTTTTTTCCTGGTATCTGTAATCTTGTATGCTTTTTTCTTTTTTCTTTTTCTGAGGTATGGTGTATGTTTCTTATCTTCAGTTACTCTGCTTTATTATCTAATGCGGACAGAGTTAAGAATGATGATTACTGTCTTACAATGTGGAATGAAATGTTCATTTTACACACCTTCACAGGTTTAAAGGTTGACATATTTAGAACTCTGGTTTTGGAGTTCAGTGCTAGAAATTAATTTTAATGTGCATACCAAAATGGAACATTATATAAAATTGGTTCTTATCCTTTCATTTCATTCCTTGTCTTTCAATTTTTATGTATTGAGTAATGATTCATCAAAGACTTTTTGTTGTTTCTTTTTAAAACCTCAGTGTTGTTAGAAGTAGATCAGAAGCAGTAGTCTTTTCCAAAGCTGTTTTTCCAAGGTTTTTGCTGTCTAGGTATCTGGAGGGATATTTCCATTGTCCAAATTAGTATTGTGAAATATGTTCCTGGTTTATGATACTTGTAGTGCTGAGCACTGTCTGAACATGGGATATTTTCTATCATCAGGGTGGTGGAGAATGAGATGCAGAAATACTGACTTTACTGTGAGGCAGAGTGTTGGTTTAATATAATGCTGTCAGATGTATAGGCTAAGAGATGGTTGGGAATTTTTACCTCATTCTACCTATTTGGCCTCAAGTACACATTTATTATGATCTCTGTTCTCAAGGCAATCCATGTGCTTTCTAGGCATAAAATATCAAAACTCATTTGCGGCTGGAAGATGAATTTGTGCAACTTTGTGGCACTTACATTATTTATACATCCCATGTTTTGTCATAAAATAAGTCTTCTAAAAGATTTGATTTGAAGTAAATTATTGTCTAAAACTAAAATATACTGAAAGATACATATTGATGTTAAATGCTGGAACAAATGATGCTGCAGTAACTCTATGTTACAGCCATGACAATTTGAAAAAGTAATAGAGTGTCAAAATTCAGTGGCATTAAGTCTCAGTACTTAAACAGGAAGAGTATTGCATTGTCTAGGTATTTTAGTCAGAAATTAATATTTGCTCTGTGGTTTTTTTAATGAAAAATATTATCATCTATTATTTAAGAAACTATCTGGAATATTCAATTAATACTAAAATTATTTTTGTGTTTTTCTTATCAGGAAGATGAGGTGATCATTTTACATAATTAAGAAATATAGTTTAATTTTATTGATGTGTCTAGACACGGTGTGAAGTGAATTTTTCAGATGCATGCATTGTGTTCTTTTTTAATCAAAACAAAACATTAGCTTTTTGACATTAACTAGGTTTTAATTTAAAGTTTATTATGAAATCTGTTTAGCTGAAAGCATTTTAATGTCATTGTAAAACTTTAATTAGCCTGTGCATGTTTGGTTAATCTTTTGATTGCATGCATATACTTTACTATCTACTCTTTGAGACAATTCACAATCAAAATGACTTTGGATGTATTTAAATTAGGACAATCAGCAATATATTATAAAACCTAAGTGGTACTCTTTTAACCCATTTAACGTTGCAGCTAACTTCACTGTTGCTTAATCCTCAGCAAAAACTAACAAATACATATCTCTTAACAAGTTTGTTTGGATACTCATTATTTTCCGTTTCCGATTTCCCTGTACTCTCTTTTCCCATGGCTTGTCCAACCCACGCTGTCATGTCCCTCTGTCAACTGCTAGAGGGAAGCACTGCCCAGTGTATGTGCTTCTCCAGCTCCCTTAGCTCTTGCTTTCCACCGCTCACTGTCCTGTATTCCTCTCTCCTTAGCCATCAAATTCTCAAACTCTACCTCAAAGCATCAAGAATTTGAAACAAATATCTGCAAAATATAATCTGACAAACTCTAATCTCTTTCTGTTTAGCTTGGTTTTTGCATGCCTTTGTATGGTTTTTGTTATCTTTTATTTTTGATGGGAAGTAATTGTTTGTATTTTCTTGAAAATCACTTACTGAATGGTTGACTTGTCTTGTTGCTTTATAGTACCTTAAAGCAGGTTCCTTGAAGGATCCTCTCTTAGATGATCATGGAGACTTCAACAGAATGTGCACAGCAATGAGAAAGATTGGACTGGATGATGCAGAAAAGCTTGACCTTTTCAGAGTAGTGGCTGGTGTCCTTCACCTTGGAAATATTGATTTTGAGGAAGCTGGGAGCACTTCAGGTTAGATGAAGCATAAGCTATTTCCTGCAAAAGTGATGAAAGTGTCTGTCAATGCATATAATCCTTTTCCATGTGAATTTCTCCTTTGGAATGTGGCTGTGTGCTCAAGGGTAACTCAGCCTTAACTTTGAGGTTATTTACTTAATCTGAAGTTGTATTTTTTTGCATGCTCCAGAAACAAGTCGGCTCACACTGAAACTGCTCAAGAAAATGTTTCTTAAAACTGTACGTGATTTTTTTTGTGTGTGTGTGTGGTCCGAATATGTGTGTATTGTTCCCCCGGGCAGGCGGCTGCACGCTCAAGAACCGCAGCGGGCAGGCGCTGGAGTGCTGCGCGGCGCTGCTGGGCCTCGACGAGGACGACCTGCGCGGCAGCCTCACCACGCGCGTCATGCTCACCACGGCAGGGGGCGCCAAAGGAACGGTCATCAAGTGAGTGCCGCGCGCCCAACGGCCGCCAACGGCCGCCGCGGGCCTGCCCGAAACGTCCCGGCAGAGACACCGCTTGTGGCGGGGAAAGTCGCAGCAGCTTCATGGGTTACAAAATACACAGCACACGCGGGTTTATCATAGCGCTGCTGACACGAACTGGTGCTCCCGGGCTGCCCTATGCTTGGAGCATAAGGGGACCCCTTACCTTCCCCATCCCATCTCATCCCACCCCAAAGGCAACAGTGTATTTGAGGTAACCCGTAGGGATTTGGGTGTCCCACCGGATGTCAAAGGCTCTGGGCTGTGCTTTGTAAACCACCTGCTTAAAAAGAATTCCTCCCTTATCTGCATAAAAAGGGGAAAATGGTCAGAAACGCTCAGTTGGCATATGAGCTGAGTCACAGTTAGTGAAAGGCAGTTAAGATGACCACTTAATGATGTGCAGAGTGTAAAAATATAAGTGTAGCACATTAGTATTGCCAGACTTTTCTAAACAGAAGCAACTAGTTGTGTTTCTCTTCTGCTTAAGAGATGCTGATTTTGAGCTGACAATTATTAGCAGAAATTTGAGATATACCAATCTTTTTGCATTTTAACTAGCTATTGTGCATTTGTTGACGTTTTATGCGCAAGCTGCTTGTAGTTACTTAGTTACTGGGATTTTTTATTTTTATTTAGAGGAATGATTGTGCAGTGTCTGACATAGATGGTCCGTCTTCGGTAAAAAAGAACAGCTTTGAATATGACACACTCGCTTTCTTTAAAGTCTCCTATATGCTGCTGAATGCATTGCAAGGACAAAGAAAACATACCAGTAAACCTGTTAAGCCCCTAAGCTATACAGCAAATTCAGTATGTTGATCGATTAACAAATGCACTTGGAGGGATGCTGATTCTGCTCAACTATAGTAGGCTTCAGGAAACTTTGAGGATACTTTGATGTGTTGGTCTTGTTGTGGAGGCTGCAGTTAAGCAGTCAGTGCTGTCCAATGGCATTAAGGTCTGGGATACTCTCCTTGCTGAGTAATAGAGAGATGATAGTTGTCTTTTGAATATGGAAAGGTGCCCTTTGTCCACCTTCCCATATTCACACTTTCTAGTGTCACTGCTGATTTTCCACTCTTCTGTGATTGTCTTCACAGCAAGCAGTGATAAGTTTCTCTCCCTTGCTGCTTTTAATTCTTCTTAATCAAGTTTGAGCTCGTACTGTTTAAACATGACCACAAATGCTAATTAAGAAACATGCTGCTGCTTGCCATTGCTGGTGAACACTTAATCAAAAACAAAGTCATTTGGCTTTCACAGAAACATAAGAAATACTAAAACAATACAAAGCTAGGATTTTTTTTTCCTGTACGTATTAAGAATAATTTGCTGTTGGAGTAAATAATGGTGACCTTAAAATATATATAAATATATTTTTAAACTTATATCTTGACAAGGTGCCTTTATCAAGTTAACTTTGTAGGCACAGAAATCATATAGTGATTTTTTTACTGTACCCACATGGACAGGAACTAACTGTAAAGAGCATGTTTAGAAATTATACTGATCCTAATATTTTAATGCCCATGATAACTATAACTTTTCTAAAAGTGAATTTTATTGAAATAGTTGATTTCATAAACAAAAGGTAACTGTTGTGGAAAAAAGTTTAATTTGCAACCTAAATTCTCTGCTACTGGAACTGATTTTTCTAACACATAAGCTGTTAGGGATACTAGATAAGCTTCTAATAGCTGTATTTCATATTTTAGTGCCTGGTCTTCTGGTTATCTCTTTTCAACATTTTTTTTTTCTGGAGTTTAAAGAAGCTAACTTTGGGACAATCAGTTTTGAGGAAATTACTTTGCTGTGTTTAGCAAAATGTGTTCATCTTTTAGTTAGGAAACTAGTACTAAGTTTAGTCACTGGAAGAGTGCAAAAGAGTTTCGTGCTATCTTCATTTGGCTTAATTGAATGGAAAATAAAAATCTATGCACATGCAAAATTTAATATAGGAATATCATAATTAACTACCTGTATTAATACACTTAAGTTCATTGTATGTCTTGACATTCATCGTTCCTGTTATTTGAAGCAGATTATGTTTTGTAGTCCTAAGTACCAGCTTCACTTGTCTTCCGGGTGAAACTCATCTGCCAGGCCAAGATTTGAACCTGGTATACTGTTAGTTGCAGACTTCCTTTTGAGAATGTTGGGAAGGAAGTATGCAAAGCCTTACTACCCAAAAATGTCTCATGTACTGCCTCCCACTCACCACTTGGCATGTGGCTGTGTCAGGGAAAGCTTCTTAGGAAGCATCTCTGATGCTTGGCTCTTTTTAATGTCTCATTGCATCTGAGATATTTACACACAGCTCTGATTTGCAGTGTGATATCTTTTGTTATGGCTTGAAAATTTACCTTTAATTATGAATGTAATTTTAGGCATACTCATGCTAGAAAGCCTAGGACATTATACACATGATGAATGTACTGTTTCTAAAGTTTATGAAACTTCTATGTGATAGTAATCAAGTACATTGCCTTTTTTTTTCCTTTTTTGTTTTTCCTTTCTTTCTTTCTTTCTTAGGGACTTTTTGTGTGAAAGCAGATCATGTGATTGCTAATAGGTCACAGTGAATAACTAGCTCAGCTGAAATCGCTATGCTCAAGAGTATAACAAAAGCTTTGTACTGCTCTGCACAATAGAGCCAACAAGGAGCAGTAGGAGGGTTGTGCTAAATACTGTCTCTCTGGATTTATTAAATACTAATATGCAGTGGACTGCCAAGGGGACTTGACAGCTGCACTAAATTTGTCTGCCCTTGATAGTTTTCCAGACAGAGCATAATAATCACTTCTTGGGACTGATGTATTTGCTGTCCCTGTACAGCTCATTTACAGAGAGAAATAACATGTTGTTATTCAAAAGTGTACCTTTTAAACTGTAAATGCACTGTATTACTGTTCCTCAGCTTCACCCTTTCCAAGATTTTTAGACAGAGATCTGTGATCGCAAAGGATCACATGAATGTGAAATATTTAGCTAACATCATTCCAAGTCCTCATGCTTCTTTTGGAGTAGTACGTTTTTCTAGCCCCGGAAGGCTAGCTGCGTTCAAGATTTCTGGATTTATTTCTATTGACCTTCTTAGAGCTTTCTTTTTTTTTCTCCAAGTTGAAAACATACTACTGTGATTCTTGAATGACACAAGCCTTCGCTAGGTAGGATCATTTCATGTGGGCTGTTATTTGTGAAGTAGCAATGTGGTTGGTTGGCAGTGGTCGGTGCGCATCACTTACCTGCCCTCTCCCTTATTTATTAATAATCATGGGCAGACTTGCTTGGTCTGAACAAACAGCCTGTATAATACTAAATTATGGCAAATGTTTGGAGACTGAATAGAATTGTTCCCAAGATAAATCCAGCCTACGAAAGAGCTACAATGAGGTCCACCTGTAGATCCCTAACCTTCGTGAAGAATTTAGTACGAAAATCAAGTGTTTTTATGTTGCTGCCCTACCCACATACATAGAAAATGGTGAAGAATTTCCTCCCTGTTTCTTGCAAGCATGTGATGGAGATGGGAAAAAGTGAGAGAAGAAGAAAAATTGATCCTTCTTGTTCAGGAAGAGATCAAGTAGTCCTTTAATAATGTTCTATATTCCGCTAGTTCAGTGCAACTTCAGCGTTATTTTGTGTTTACCTAGTTTTTCAACTGAGCAAAACACATTGCAGGGTTAGGTTTTCTTTCGTTCCATGGGTTTCTTATGGCACACTGTGATAATTCATATGAGTAATACGCTTTTGTGTCTTCTCTGGAACTCCACTGGTCGTTTATTTTTTTCTGAGGATTAGGGCTGTTTTGTAACCATATGCTCGAGAAGGAAAACTGGTTGCCATGTTGTTTTTCAGATTTAAAAGCAATAGAAAGCATAATATAATATGCCGAAATCATTTATGTAATGGGGCTGCCGCTGACATGTGGGAATTAGCATTCTGATCTCTTAAACGTATCAGAATAGGACGTAAAGGTACCTTCCTTCTATTTATAAGCTTTCTGTCAGTACTTGTTATCCTAAGATAAATCAGCAGATACTTACGGGAAGACGAGATTTTACTAAAGCTAATTACTCTCTAAGGCAATGCAGCTGTGGGTGTCCTTTAGTGAATGGGTTCTCTGGTTTCCTGACAGTGGCAATAAGAAAGAGATCTTCTACGCTCTCATATTATTGCTTCAGAAGTATCATCTTCGGAAATTAGGGCAAGTACGGTTAGGAGGCAGTTAGGAGTTCAATGCTTGTGAATCCTGGGAAGTCAAGGAAAGGATCCAGTAGGGGTGAAATCCAGCTCTGACCTGCCAGTTCTTATTACAGTGGTTGTAAAGAAAACAGCCTGGAGGGGGCGGCAGAGCAGTTCCACAGCCGTGACCCCCTAAACCCCCTAGGTAAGGTAGGGGTTACGGAGCGGTTTAGCCAAGAGTGACTTTGAAAGGTGGATTCTTGCATTTAAGGAAAATTCCATACTTGATTATCCTGTGTGTTGCGAGAGTGGTTGGTTCCATGATCCAATAGTGATTGTTACTGTAGCTCTGGCTATTGAATGACATGAGAGGCAAGTTGCATGGGGAGAAGTAATACGGGGATTTACGTGAGGAGAAAGGATTTGTTTTATTCAGCCAGCTCATTGAGGTATTTGGAGGAGAGGAGAAAAAAAAAAAAAGAGAGCTTTCAGCGTATGGCTGAAGCAAGTATCACCCAGTATGAATCATGACACCAGAGGACTGGTGTGATCAAAAATATTGGCATTCACCCTCCCTGCAGATTATATTTGTTTAGTAAAGGCTGATTTTATTTTATTTTGTTTTGTTTTGTTTTGTTTTATTTTATTTTGTTTTATTTTATTTTTTACTTTAACATTATATATATCTGTATGTCATGATAGAGCATTGTGAAAAGTCTTTGTGTACCCATGGTAGTTCTGGTAATAAATGTATATAATAGACTTGCTTTTTGTGCATAAAATTTTATTGTCTTATTCTGTGGATTTTTAGGGGTAAACTTGTAATTTATATAGCTAAAATACGTGTTTGTATTTTCCTGATATCCCTACAGTTTAGTCATGCATTTCATAACCCTTGACAATTTGACTCAGTTTTAGAAAAAAATAATAAACACAAGTGGTAAACTGGGATATAAGTATATAATAAATAGGCCCAGTGCAAAGTAAAGTTTAAAATTAGAAGTCAAGAGAAGAGGGGATAATAATAATAATAAGTACTCAGCTGTTAAAAGACCTCTTTGTTCTAGTTAAAAAAAGAATCCTTATGTTGAGGTTGCATCTACCTTTTGCCATCAGAACAAATATTGCATTTTTCACTTTCTCGTTTCTGTTACCAGTTAGTTTGCAGCTCTAGAGTTTCAGTTATAGACTGGACGAAAACCTAACATAGCAAAACCAAACTTTTGTTGTATTTGTTAACCTTTTATTGTAGTTAGGTAGATCATAGCTAACTTACTGAAATATTTTATAGGTGAGACTTTTGTGAATTTTAGATGTTGATGATAGACAGAGAAAGACATAGTTCTAATTAGATAAGAAACATGAATGAAATCATTTGCATCTTACTTCTAGGGAGAATAGCGAAACATTATTTTATAGATAGAGTAGTTATTCTAATGTGGACTAATAGACTGTTTTCTATCCGAGTCCACTGCTAAGGCTTGTGTGTCCTAGTCCACAAGAATATGAAAGGCTCTTTTTAAGTTCAGGGCCTAATTTCGGGTATTTTAGAGTGAGAAATTCACATTTAACATCTGTATTTTTGTTCTGTAGGGTACCCTTGAAAGTGGAACAAGCAAACAATGCTCGTGATGCCTTGGCTAAAACGGTGTATAGTCACCTCTTTGACCATGTAGTGAACAGGGTAAACCAGTGTTTTCCATTTGAGACTTCTTCTTTCTTCATTGGAGTTTTAGATATAGCTGGTTTTGGTAAGTATTCTTCATAAAGGGTGTTTGTTTTGTTTGTTTTTTTCCTTCCTCTGTTTGGCTGTTATTGTCACCAGAGATTCAGTGATGAATTTTAAAGCAGTGTGTGTCAGAGTTTTATTTTTAGTGGTGGTGCATGGGATGGAATATATGTACTGAAGAGAATATCCAGAAGAAAATATATTTACACTCTGAAGCTTTTTTTCACTTTTTACTGTGCAATATAAACTCTTGAAACACTGGTTTATCACAGATGTTTTAACTTCTATTTTACAGAATACTTTGAACACAACAGTTTTGAACAATTCTGTATTAACTACTGTAATGAAAAACTGCAGCAGTTTTTTAATGAAAGGATTCTGAAAGAGGTATGTTGTATTTTGTGGTATCTGAGCTTGTTTTTTATATTTTTTAGTAAAATAGCAACATTTTCTGTAGGGTTGCTCTTTCCATTGACAAAATGTGTCTTTATGGTCTTGTAATGTGAGATTGTGCTAGAAAGCTATATTGTGCTTTAGTCTTATTCAGTCAAGAAGCTGTACTCCAGATATGTTTCATTAACGTAAGCCATCAAAAACCGACTAAGAGAAACTACATGTGTATTTTTATTGAGCATATAACTAAGGAGGTGAAGATGGAATATAATAAATTGTGCCAGATGATTTAAAAAATACATATTTATTCATGCTGTATATAACAGTAATGCCTTCATATTTATTTTTAAAAATAAATGAAAACAATATACAGAGAATGATGTTTTCTGTTTCACAATCAGTATTCTTTTTTGTTCAGGAACAAGAACTTTACCAAAAAGAAGGCCTGGGGGTTAATGAAGTGCACTATGTAGATAATCAGGATTGTATAGGTATGTACTTCTTGAAGTGTGAAATTGTTGTTAATATTGGGTAGTGCAAGACTTAAAGTTTTATAAGTATGTTCAGGTGTGATATGTCTTTCTCAAAATAAAATGTCTTTATTTTCCTTGGGAAAATTTTATTTTCCCAGGAAAGGAAATTTTATTTTCCTTTTATTTTCCTGCTGTGAAAGAACATGTGAGCTTTTTTGTACTTTCAGATTCAACATGGGGTGAAACATTGATAAGAAGCTTACTTTTTTAAAAATCAGTATGAGCAATTATCCCATAAAGACCTACGCTGTACCACAAAACCATTTAGGCACCTTTTGGGAATTAGGTGATTAAATGAGGAGGAAATGACCCAAAAGGTTCAGCTTTTATGTTACTTGTGTTAAACTTAAGCTTCTGATAATGTGTATAGAATATTGATTAAATTAACAATTCAAAGAGGTAAAATTTAATTTATAGTGACTGTTTATTATGCTAGCAACTTAACCTGGATAGAAGACTTGTTCTGTGTAAGCGTATCATTTTAAACTTGCGATTTTTATGGCCCGATATGTGATTATTAATGAAATTTTGTAAATTTTTTTAATAGATTTGATTGAAGCCAAGTTAATAGGTGTGTTAGATATTTTGGATGAAGAAAATCGTCTTCCCCAACCAAGTGACCAGCATTTTACTTCAGTTGTGCACCAAAAGCACAAGGACCATTTCAGACTCTCTGTAAGTTTATTCATTATGTTTGTGTTTAAATTTAGTTCTCAAGACATTTGAACATTTGATAAACCTCAATTTAATGAAAAGCTTTTCTAAGATATTCCAGCCACATCATTTTCCACAAGTCATATTATTTGTCAAGGACGAGTTTAGATAGGTTTGTTGAAAGGTTCACTAAAGGCTTGCTAAGTCTTAACATATTCTGATACCCTGCTGAAACTGATGTCATCTGTTTTCATCTGTACTTAATGCTAGTGGGGGGAAATTCAACCAGCTGGTCTTAGCAGTCTTGGCGAGTTTTATTTTGAATTGTGCCTCATTCAGATTTGAGGTAGCTAAGCATATGAATGGCAATGAGAACAGCAGGAAGTGTCATTTTAACACATAGCACTCCTGGCAAAAACTTAGTGTTGTCATTGTAATAAATTCTCCTCGCTGTACAATGTAATTCTTCCTTGTAATTTTTAATTACAGATTCCAAGAAAGTCTAAATTGGCTGTTCACAGAAACATCAGAGATGATGAAGGCTTTATTATACGGCATTTCGCAGGAGCCGTATGCTACGAGACGGTAATCTGCCTCAGACAACTTTAGTATGCTTTTTGGTAGTCTTATTTTTTTGAGTATTGAGGCTGCAAAGGAAGTATATTTCATCATAAGACAAATTCAAAAGATGATTTGTGTTCTAGCTTTGAGTCTGAATTTCATGATTCATCACAGAATTGGCAGGATTTTTTTTAAGCTTCTTAAATTTCAGACTTCTGTTGAGACATATGTAACAAGTGCTTGTTACAAATCTCTGTTTAGGTAATGGTGTCACTATTAATATATTGATTTCATGGGCTGCTGCAAAATCAACAGAAATTTGCATCTCTGGGAGAGAAGGGCACTGTTATGTATAAATATGTTTTTAGACTTAACAGTAACTTTTCAGAAGCATACTTCTCCACAACTGTTAATTTCTATGTTAAAGATGACTTTTTTTTTAGTGTTTTCTAAGCTCCAATAAGATTTTTCATGTAAGGGCATAAAATATCTGAAATTTTCATTCTTAAAATACAGATCCTGAACTTTTATATGACTATTCATCATACAAAAACATTGAAGCGTCCTAAATGAGTAACTGAAACAATTTTTTGAAAGTTATGCATTAAATATATGAATACCTGGAAGTAAATGTTCATAGTTGACCAAATCACTATTAAAATTGCACCAGAAACTAATAAGATTTTTTGTGTGTGAAGTTTGATACAGGTTTCTCAGTCTCTAAAGTTCAATTTAATGCTTTGCTATTGAGTTTTAAAATTTAGCTGATTTAAATAAACGAAAGAGGTAAGGTTTGTAAGAAGGGGCTGATACCTTTTATTATAGCAGCTATCCTTAAATAGTTGTAATATAACAGGACTACTGAAATAATAATCATTTTTCATTTCATTTGCCAAAACTCTAGATTCACCAGTTAAAATGTTCAGGGTTCTTGTTTCACAGGGAATTTTAAATGACTTTACAAGTGATAAAGAACTAAGCTTCCCAGTATTCCCAAGTGATGAGGTCTTAAGAGCTGGAAGTAGATATGGGAAGTATAATCACTGGCAAAAGCACAACTGATTTCTTAAAGACAGTAGGCCTTGCTGTGGGTCTCATGGTTCCATCAGCATCCTTCAAATTTAAGAATGTATTTTGTCTTCCGTCATTAGTATTTTACATGTCCTATTGAAAAGTTGTTTGAAATAATGTACGATTATTTATTCTCCAATTTTCGCTGACTTTGAATTAAGCATGTAACTTTGTTTTTCTTTCAATTTTCTTTAAGATTTGGCGGCTTAGGGTTGTGAAACGTATTATTTCTTGGGTTGTCTTTTCAGACGCAGTTTGTGGAGAAAAATAATGATGCTTTGCACATGTCCCTTGAATCTCTTATATGTGAGTCCAAGGACAAGTTCGTTCGACAGCTGTTTGAATCTAACACCAACAACAACAAGGATCCCAAGCAGAAAGCAGGGAAACTTAATTTCATCAGTGTGGGAAACAAATTCAAGGTAACATAGTACAGCAAAGGATCTATTTTCTTCTAAAATATGCTGCTCCTAAGTTATTCTGAAATCAGTAGAACCCAAAGATGGGAGAAGTAGTGGTAAGTTGAGATTCATACAAAGAAAACTGCTAAATAGGCGTTTTTCCTGTCAAAGTGTAAGAAATCAGCATATTCCAGTTAAATGCTACCCATTTCTGTCAAGAAGATTTTTGAAAATAGTCCTTGCAGAGATTATGCAGTAATTCAGAAGTCATAATTTTGCAAGGACAAAAGGAAATCTTGATTCTGAAGGTCTAAATTTTGAAAGCCATCAAAAGCCATTTCAGCAAGAGTTCTTCTCAGCACATCTGGGCCAGATCCAAAAGCCATTTTGATGGCTTCTGTGATCTCTGAGAGGTTCTGTACTGGACAAAATGTTCTTCCATCCTGTCTTAATTGGTGGTGTAGGAGATGCATCAGTTGGGTTACAGTTAGCCATTCTCAGAATTCAACAGCTGTCCTAACCACTGCGCTTCGTCTTTTAAAATATTATTAAGATAATAATTGCTTTCACAGAAGTTAATTCGTTGTGCTGAACAGTTCCTTTCTCAATACCTGAATCTCATGCTTCTCCTCATTTTCTCCTTTCTTCTGCTTGTTGTAAAGCTGACCTTCAAACCTTGTCTTCTCCGATTGTTTTCTGCATCCTTTTCTCATTCAGCAGTTTTATTTTAGCTGGACTATTCCAGCTCAGGATGGCTAGAAAAGAGAACTATAGGGGAATTGTGAGAGGAAAAGCTGGCACAACCATGTGCTGCAGGTAAATTTTTCAATCTCATGGACTTATTATTGATAGAGTTGCTGAAATTTCAGCAAGAGTTCTTCTCAGCGCATCTGGGCCAGATCCAATGAAGGATTTAGATGCCTTCAAATCAGGTGCTACGGCATTTTCTTTTGCTACCTTAGCTAAAGCACCTGCAATCCTCAAATCACATTCCTGGACAACTACTGGGGTCCCCTGTTGGGGAAAGCAGGACAATCCAAAAAGACACAGACAGAGTGATTAATAACAACAGAAAATTTCTCCA